AGCTGAGTTAACGTCTTACCCGCACAATTCAATGAACTTGAATTTTGCCTATATATGCTTTGCAAAAGAAAAATAGTGATTTAGGCAGTGCAGGCTAGCTCGGAAATCTTCCGAGACTGGGCACCAGTTTTAAGTTACTCTCATACTCACTTTATTGTCCTCGTGAGTGCCTGTGGCTATCGTCCTCATTTTAAGACCTCAATTCTTTCAGATACGGTGAAGTCATCGGCACTGCTATAAACAGTGATTTCGCAGTGAGTTCACTTATCACCAAAGTCGGTGGGTCACATCAGCCTCCCACGACACATAGTGGCAGCGATTCTAATTAAGCAGTTCTCTCTAACCAATCATTTTAATAAATTACATTTTCCCAAACGAGCATTCTGTTCTAGAGGTTACAAGTCAATACTCCTTAGACTCATTATAAACAATTTTTTAATATGATACATTCGTAAGGCTCTTCTTAGCACACAGACCCAGATGGGAAAACTCTGTTAGGACAAAGTATAGAATAAGCGAAGGCTAAGCTAACATTTTATTGTAATGCTTGTATTCTCAAAGCATTTGTGTACGTCGTCTCCCATTCTTTTAAAACTCTTTATTACCGACCGGGGTCTGTGGTTTCTGTTGCAGGAAAAAGTTTGGTCAAGAGTAGACGAAAGAATGTGGTGTTTCACACCAGGAAATGGGAGGGATGATTCTGTTCTCCCTTCAGACCATTTCATTGTCCTACGCTTCTCATAAACGTGAACATTTCCTCTCAAGCAAACTACTTCATAGGGCGATCAACCGAAGAAATAATGACGGGTTCGGATGCTGAAGGAAACACTGGACAGCGCAGTAGCAGAACATTCTCTCGGATGGCGCTAATTGAAACCCCACTAAACTCTAGCTTATGGGTTTGTCATGGATGCGGTCATGTAAAGCAGGCTGAGGGGCACGGGGAGCGTCTGTAGGGTGGGCGTGGGGTTTACATTTTAAGTAATGTGGTTAGGTCTCACGGAGAAGGCAACGGTTAAGCAAAAAACTGGAGGCAGCGAGGGAGTTGGCCATGCAAATATCTGGGGGACGAGCGTTCCAGGCAGAGGAACAGCCAGTGCAAAGGCCCTGAGGAAGAGTGTGCCTGGAGTGTATGAGGGCAAGCAAGGAGGCCGGTATGGCTGGAGCCGACTGGCGAAGGGGGAGTGACAGGAAATGAGGGCAGGGAGGTTAACGGGGCACCAGCAAATATGGAGGCCATTGTAGGCCGCTGTGGATTCTAACTTTCAAGCGAAATTGGGAGCCACCGTAGAGTTTTCAGCGGAGGCATGACATGACCTGGCTTCAATTTTCAAAGGATCACGGGGTGCTACTGGGTTGGGAACAGACCCAAGGGCGACAGATAGCAGCAGGCTGTTGCAGTGAGGCAAGCAAGATAGGAGTGATGGTGGCTTTGTTGGATCTTGGTAGCAGTTGAGGAGGAGGTAGTAAGAAGTGATCAAATTCTGGTTATGTTTTGAAGGGAGAATGAACAGGATTTGCTGATGAAGCGGGTACACTGGAAAGGGTTGAATTGCTGCTGATTAAAATGGGGAAGCATTGTGAAGAGGTAGGTTTTGTGTGTGGGGAGAGAATGAACTGTTCGATTTTAGATATATTCAAATGTCCGTTAGGCAAATGATACTCACATAGACTGGCTGTGGTCTGTGAGCTGTCTGTGATCAGCGAGATAAGCAGCTTAATGCTGAGCCTAAATCATCTACGACACCGAGCACGTACTTTAGTTCGGCTTACATTTTTGTCCCTTAAGCGTTGATCAATGAAGGAAGCAGTGTATTAATTTGCATTCCGGCTCAAGCTCTTATCTCCTTGTGAACAGGTAACAAATAGTTCATGGATCTGCTACTCTGTGTAGCACTGTATTAAGACAACCAAGTCAAAGCATCGGGTAGACAATTCGATACATGATTCTGGAGTTTGGAGTAGAAGTCTGAGACTATAGAGTTGATTGGGTGCGAGTTGGGAGTGGCCAGTGTAGAGATGAGACATGAAGCCGTGGAACCAGATGAAATCCCCCAGGGAGTGAGTGTAGCCAGAGAAGAGAGATGCACTGAAGACAGCCCAGGGCATGCCAGTATTTCAAGAGTGGGAAGATGGGAAGGATCCAGCAAGAGACTGGAAAAGCTCAGCCCTGAAGAGGACAGATGGGAAGAGTGAGAGTGTGAGGCCAAGTGAAGACGGTGTTTCAAGGAGGGAGCAATCGGGTAAATCGAGGACCAAGAAGAGATCGTTGATGATCTTGACAAAAACACTTCGGGTGGGATGGCACGGGCATCGGACTCAGCAATTCGTCGACAATGGTCGCGGTTGAAACGAGATGGAACAGATACTTACGAAGTACCTTAGACATGCTAGGTATTGTGCTAAAATATCTGTCAAGTTTTAAAATACAAAGCCCCGTGAGAGTAGGGATGTTGTTTATCCTTATTTAACTGATGAGGAAATAGGCTTAGAGGTATTAAAGGTTTGACCAAGGCCACATAGCAGTACGGAGATCATTTACACGATGCTATGTATTTTCAGCAACTGTTTTCAGCCAGTTATTTCCTTCGTACTCACTGCCCTGGACTGTTCGGTCTCACTCTTTACTTAGGAAGGCATCGGGAGGAGCCCCAATCCAGATCTAAAGGTACAAATGCAAAGAATGTTTAAGAACACGGTGGCAAACGAAGTGGGCATGAGTCACTGGACCCAACCACGCTCTGCAGTGTTTGTGACACCTGATCTTTTATACTCTTCATAAACAGTGGTCTGAAGACTTCGGATCTTTAAATTTAGTCTCTGTTTAGTTTTTGGTGATCTTTTACGTATTCCTTTTAAACGCTCTTATTTGGTACCTGTTTATGATTTCCTTTTCAGAAACTACATGACCACACAGTGAGGTTTTGTTTCTACTCCCTGGACTATTGAATTCTATTGCAGTCACTTCTGTACAGTGGTTTCCTCCCTAAGAATTTCCTCTGTAATAGTTCTACACTTCCATTCTTTAGTATCGAGTCTAATATATTCACTTCCCTAGAAACTGTCCATCGAAAGGTTTATCCTAGGAAATCTTTTTGTCTCCTTCCAATGCCTGCTTTTGTCTTTAGTCCCCTGGAAGAAATGGGTCAAGTTCTAGGGGCTAACTGAATGAAGTTTTCCATTTTTCTTTTTCTGTGCTACGCTTCATAGCAGGACTAGTCTTGGGCCAGGCAGCTTAGAGTTTTAGATAAGTTTTCTTATTTAATTGCAGACTTCCCACAGTATTTCTCTAACCTGGTAAAAGATTTATACTTTGACAATCATATCGTTCTTAGGAAATATCCTTTTTCTGCCTCTAGAATCTGATTTCCGGGAGGATTATTATTATGTTTATCTTAAAATCTTCATGTCTGTGACGTACAGTTTGTTGACAGCAGATTTCTGTTTATTTGCAGATGTTCGCACGCAAGCCATGTACCAGATGATGGATCAAGGCTTTGTAGGACTTATTTTTTCCTGTTTCATAGAAGATAAAAACACAAAGGTATCGTGTGTGTGTGCACATGTTTGTGTGCGCACACGTGCGTGCACGCGCGTGTGTGTAAACACACACAGAATGTAGAAAAATCTTTTTGCAATTTCAATAGGGTGGCCAGGGAAGGTTTCAATGAGAAAGGTCA